TTCACAAAAGGAATCTGATTTGAAAGGTGCAGATCAAAGAGATGAAGAACTAACTGAGCTGATTGCCTACTTTGAAGTTCAAGTCTGTATTCTTTTACAACACTAGAAGCCTGCCTGAATGGAGAAGTGACAAGGAGGACTGAGATAGGTTGGAGAATGGACTTATTACACTTCACTGGCAACTATTTCTATTTGGACTTTGTTGGGAAGGAAGACTGACTATAGAGACTGAATTTATTATATTCAATTAGACAACAATGGATAAGAGATGGCATTAAGAAACAAAAGTGAATATTTAATCCAGGATGGATTACTCTTAATTCTTGAGACAATTTGGGATAGATAAGATGCCATAGTAAATTTTCTATGAGTTGATTACAATAATAGTTTGTTAACAGGGTTTTCAAACTTTAACCTTGTCTTTTTTATTATTATTGATTTTCCTGTTAACTATTTTGTCATTAACACAGTGTATAGAATACAAGTCAATAATTTGCAAATAGATTTAGTAGTTTAAAAATGTTGGGAGGTCCTGTTTCACAAAGGGTGGGAACACATGTTGTAGTAATATATTAGTCAGTATTCAGCTAAGCGGGATAATATGTGCATATGTGTTTTCTTTTCAATGCACTTTTTAAAACGTCTTGATTGTTTTGTGTTTTTCTGGCGGTTTTTTTTAATTTTGTATTTTGATTTTCTTTTGAGTAAAATAAAAGTAGAAAATTTTAAAAAAATCTTGCCCAGACTAAAGCAACTATTTTCATAACTATTAGGTCAGGGGTAGGTTCTACTTACCTTTACTACCAGTTCACATTGTGCCCGCATGCGATCACTTCTGATGACATCCGGGTCAGTGGGTGGAGCCTCCTGCTGGTTTTACTACCGGTTCTTGTGAACCTGTCTGAACCGGGGGGCAACCCACCACTGTATTAGATACACCCTGTGAACTACTGGGTGGGTCTGCCTTTGTTCTCTTCCAGCATACCAAAGATTCCAAACTGTCTTTTTGCCCTCTGTGTAAGAGCCCCTCCCTCCTGTGACTCCAGACTACATTCTACTCACAGATTATAATCATCTGACTTGGTGAATGCCAGAAGTAGCCAATGGCTACTTTTCCCATCTAGTTTAGACTATAGTTTCTACAATCTTTTACCATTGGCCAGTCTTGATGGAGAATATCAGGTAATTTACTTCTAGATTAAGCACAGAGGACTTGGTTCTGGTTCAGAACTGACTGCCCTTCATAGGGTAATGAGAATTGATCATATTACTCCCCTTGCCACTTCATATTGATATAGTTTTCTAAAATAAAATTAAATCTTAATTATTCTGTGACCATGCTGCCCTAAGATAGAAAGCAGGACATGAGCATGGTTTAAGATAGGAGCATAATCTGCCAATTTCTGCCTCTCAGCTCAATCTACCTCACAGTTATGGGTGTAGAGAAAACAGGAAGAGGAAGGAATATTAGGCATGTTGAGTTATTTAACCCTGAGTTATTTATTTTTAAAAAAATAAAGGTGGGATAAAAAAGCTTTAAACAAACCATCTGATTTATCTCTCCCTTACTTAATATTAAGAAAAAAAATTAAACATAAAACATATAAAGAATGGTTGCTGGAACTGGATATGTCTAGTGTTATGAAAAGAAGGACTAGGGATGACATGATAGCAGTGTTCTGATATCTCAGGGGCTGCCACAAAGAAGAGGGGGTCAAGCAATTCTCCAAAGCACCTGAGGGTAGGACAAGAAGCAATGGGTGGAAACTAATCAAGGAGAGAAGCAACCTAGAATTAAGGAGAAATTTCCTGACAGTTCGAACAATTAATCAGTGGAACAACTTACCTCCAGAAGTTGTAAATGCTCCAACACTGGAAGTTTTTAAGAAGAGATTAGATAACCATTTGTCTGAAGTGGTGTAAGGTTTCCTGCCTAAGCAGGGGGTTGAAGACCTCCAAGGTCCCTTCCAACTCTGTTAAATTATAATTATAATTCCAAAGAGTAAGAACAGTTCAACAGTGGAACCAATTGTTTAGACAATTAGATGTGTTCAAGCAAAACAGGAGAATTTTACACAGAATAATTGTGAATATTTTAAATTGTACTTCTGCACAAAACAGGAAATACACCCTTAATGGCCATTTCTAACTCTATGATTCTTTTTTTGGTAAGCTTGTCCATACTTAAAAATAGTTGCAGCAGTTCATAGTTCCCTAATGTGTATCCATGAAAGGTCGAGTTAAATAAGATTAAATAAGCCTCTTCTAAATCATGTTCTTGATATTGATCATATTTCTTTTGCTCAAAAAGGAGCTGCAGGGACATGAAACATGCCATGGGGAGGATGTGAGGCCCTTTCCCCTTTGCAATTTTCAGCTGAAAACTATCTCCATTGTTGCTATTTTTTGCCTTTCTAGTTCAAGAAAATTGCATGTATACAATACAGAGCTAGCAAGAAAAGAATTTCAGGAAGAAAAAATTAAACTGTATCCTGTTCTACAGAAAGTTCAGTGTAGTTGCTTTGAACTGTTTTTGTAGAAATAATAATTATAGGGAATCCCAATGATGAGATTTAAGCAAATATTTAAGTCACATTAATGTCACTTTAATAACCAAATCCTTGGTTGCAATTGCTTCCATGTTTCACTTCTGTTTTATTTTGTGCATATCTAGTATCATGACTTCAACTGCAACTTTTAGAAAAGTTGTGAATTGAAAAAAAATGTGTACATGAATTGAAAAGATGTTTCATTTTGAGGTTGGGGCGAAAAGTTCAACTTAAGATAGTCTTTTCCAACATTTCTAGCTGGCTGTGTTTGGATGGAAAGAAATCTTGAATATCCCTTGCTCCAACAGAAGACAATTTGAAATATTTCAAGGGCTTCAGCCATAGAGTCAAGACTGGAAATTTGGGACAAACTCATTAATCCCTTGGGGGTTTTTTTATCCCAGGCCACAAGAGTTAAGTATTCATGTTGACAGCTATTGATATCAGCATACATAAATATTAGCCAAAGTTATTATTTTAAAATATTTTTGGGGGAAAAAAAGAGGGGGAAAAAGAGGAAAACAATGAGAACAGCAATCTAATCTCACCCAATGAAAAAGATAAAATTGTATAAATTATATTTTTAATTAGAGAAGTCCTCTGGATATGAAGGAAGTTTCTTAGTCATTTAAATAAATTCTACACAACATTGCAAGTGACCTTAACATCCTTTTAAGTAGCACAATTCCTAGCCTGAAAATAAATAAGCTAGGCATCAAGATAAAAATTATTCTTCCATTCCCAAGACATATTTTAATGTTTGTTGCCTTGTTTTAGTAGGCACATAACATCACTACCTGTTCAGCAAAGCTGAATAAGTTTTTTTATGTGGTTGTTGTTCTTTATTTTATTTTTGTTTTGTTTGACAAACTTCCTGCCAGGCCAGGTACCAGTAACAAATATCTTGAATCCCAAGATGATATAATACAGACTAAAGATCCAGCAAACAGATCAACATAAGCCAAGCAGAATATCAATGCCAACAAGGTCAAAAAACATGCACACCAAAGCTGAAGAAAGCAATCAAAATCACACTGAACCAATAGGATGTGTGTTTACAAAACACAAGTACAGTCATCTTTTCATTACTTTCTTGTAAAATAAGGTGTAGGCAATACACTTCAACCCAACCCTGTAAACCTGAAGCTCCCCATAGCAAATAAGGGGAAATCCTTTTCCTCCTCCTTTGCCAAGTGTTTTCCTTTTACTTATCCAGCTCAATCACCATTTCCATTCAAAATTAACAGCAGCTGAAACAAGTTTCTCACTGCTGTTGTCCTGACTAGGCTACAAACTTTAGGGTGGGATGGGGGGAACCAGTTACAAGCCATAATACAACAACTCAATAGCAACCATAAAATCTTAGAATATGTGAAACAGCATCAGTAGAAATAGTCATGTTTTATTCTATATATACTATATATAATCATTCTATACACCAACCTTAAAGCATGCATGTTCTGTTTTGTACATAGAAACTGAGAAAGGCTGTTCTAGACATCAATCAATCAATCAATCTGAAAAACAACAGCTGTCCTCCTACATGATCTCTTCCACTTATCTCTTTTACTACTATTCTTAAAAGTGGTATTATTTTCCCCCCCACATCAATCCCCAATTTGAAATTAACATTTTTATTTCTCTTTATATTATTCTAAAGTATTCATTTCCAATTAGGTAGTATGTGATGGTACCCCAGCCAACAGTTTTCAAAGAATAGCTCTATTAGCTTTCTGAGTAATAGCCAGTCTATGTAAGATCTGCCAATCACCTTTGCTATCTCCCTATTTCAGTAAAGAGTTCAATTTTACAGTAATCTTCATTTCAGAATAATGACAAAACTCTCATTAATTTGGTGGCTTTTAAATTTTAATTGGAAGAAGTTGAAAACAAATGCCTATGTTCCTGAAATCATTTTTAACATTCCTGTGCAATAGCCCTTTTCTTGAATTCTTTACAAATATTAGGGGATTTAAGGCGTAGAGAAGTAACATTTTGCAAAACCTATCAAAAAAAGAGTTTTATCTGAAGCAGATGGTACAAAATAGAACATAGGTTTTGTTTCAAACTCAAAACCCACATTGTGTGCCTCAGACATCTTGCTGAAATATTCAAGATCAGCTGAAGTTCTATAGAACTAAACCTATAATATTTTGGATTCAAAAATCCAGGATCATCTTATCGAATAGAACAGGGGTGTCAAACTCAATTTTGTTGAGGGCTGCATCAGGGCTGTGGTTGACCTCGGGGGGGGTGAGGCGTGTGGACATGACTGATTGGGTGGGCATGGCCAACTAGGTGGGCACGGCTGACTGGGAGGGCATGGCAGACTGGACAGGCATGGCTGACTGGATGGGTGTGGCCAACTGAGTGGGTGTGGCCAAGTGGGTAGGCATGGCCAGCTTGACACCACTCCCCAAACTGCTGACATGTTTCCTCTTTGCACTAGGTAGACTGGGCTGAAGCCATGCTGGCCCAATGTTTCCTCTTTGCACTGGATAGACCAGGCCGAAGCGACACAGGTAGACCGGACTGAAGTGATGTGGGCCAGACAGAATGGCCCTGCGAGCCAGATCCAACCACATCATGGGCCTTGAGTTTGACACCCCTGGAATAGAACAAAGCAGGTATATATCATCCATTTTCTCGTTTTCTATTTCACAACCTATACTGTAAGACAGTGCATTCTCTTCCCTGCCTCCCTTTGGTTACCACTGCTATCCCTTGGTTTCAAGCATGACATATCAATCTACCCTCAATCTTTCAAGTGCCTTTGTTTTCCTCTCCCATCTTAAGGATGATAGGAAAGAGCTGATATGTCTCATCCTTGAAGCTGAGGGCAGAGACAGTGGCATCTTTTTTTCTTTTTTTTTATTTATATGCCGCCCTTCTCCGGAGACTCAGGGCGGTTTACAATGTGCTCAGCATCTAAGGAATGTTAGGGAAAGGCAGATGCTGGGAAGATTGGGGTGGACAAATGGGCTACCCCATCTATTGCTTCTTTCCCACTCTATCCCCATTCATAAAGCACTCTGCCCAAAACACATGTTTTGATCCCATGTCTGGACCAAATATGTATTTCATTTCTGACCACAAATGACTAGCAATTGAATGTTTTGCTTATTCCCAGCCTGAAATAATGCTTTCCAGTGTAAGAATTAATTTTCCTGCCTTCATGCAACTCACATCTATATCTAAACATAACATATATTTGAGCATTAATAATTAAACAAACCCCTTTGCACCAACATTTTAAGCCAAAATGCAGTGCCTAGACCTGTCATAACTGTGAGTCACATTAAAATGAAAATGAAATAATTTGCATAGTAATTGTGAAACAGAAGCACTTTTTTTTAAAAAAAAGAGTGAATCCGAATTTCTCGCTTTGATTTCCTTTAGCATATTTTGCTACTTTTTTCAATCCAAGTGAAAATAGAGCAAAACTACACAAAGAGTCCCTATTGCTGTCTGTTCATTTACCAACAAGATAATGCTCCAAAAGTAGAAGAAACCAAATTTGATGGAGGAGAAATAAGACAAGAGGAGAGGAGAGGAGAGGAGAGGAGAGGAGAGGAGAGGAATCCAAAAGATACAAAACAACTATCTAATGACTAATTTAGAAAAATCTTTCAGCTTAGTTGGGAAAGTCATGCTGATGTAGATCCATTTGGATAACAGTAGTCAAACTTTGATTCAACAAGCCTACTGTTGGATTGTATACAATTGCATTCTGTGGTTATTCTGTCCATTAGGGACAAATCAGTGGTGGGTTTCAAAATTTTTTTACTACCGGTTCTGTGGGCGTGGCTTGGTGGGCGTGGCAGGGGAAGGATAGTGTAAAATCTCTATTCTCTCCCCAATCCAGGGGAAGGTTACTGCAAAATCCCCATTTCCTCCTGATCAGCTGGGACTCGGGAGGCAGAGAATAGATGGGGGCAGGGCCAGTCAGAGGTGATATTTACTGGTTCTCCGAACTATTCAAAATTTCTGCTACTGGTTCTCCAGAACTGGTCAGAACCTGCTGAAACCCATCTCTGGGACAAATATTGTAAGAAAGAAGAGAATAGGTTCTGTTTTTTTCTCCCTAGTTCAGGCAAGGACTTTATAACAACTGCAGAAAACTATTCAACCTCAATTTAAAGTCCCCTTCCCCCACCTGTTGAGCAGCTTTTACTATTAGGACATCTCTTTTAATGTCTAATGAATGAATTCTGCTTGCTTGCCATTGTTGCCATTTTCATTCTAGTCCCATCCTTTAATTTGGGTTGGAGATGTTTTAACTTTCTTTCTGCCCATAGGCAGAATTGCAAACAGACATTTACTAATAACAATTAAACATCTAAGATATTTTCAAAGTACTTTACCCCATAATCATTACCATCAAAAGTACTATTAGTATTAATGGCAGTAATTTATAACTAGCTCTTTAGGCATTTTTCCATGGTGTGCAGTGCAGCTTTCATATTGTCTTCACCCAAACACTGCAGACCGAATCACAACAGCAGGGATTTAATTCTGTGTCTTGTGCCAGTCCAACACACTGATCCACTAAAAACACAGCAGGAACTGTCACATCAATAATGTCTGTGGATGGCTGAATCTGACCATTTTGGTATTAGTGTGTTTTTGTTTTCCCAGATCTAACTTCATTGGAATCTGCTTCCAGATCAGCTGGTGCTACTGGGGAAGAATCTGCAGGGGGGAAAAAACAGCATGCACTTTTCTCCTACTATGTTTATTGCCAGCTATTTTTGCAAATATTTTTTTTTTGACAGCCTAGTATGTCTTTGTATTTTGCTGATATATACATTTGTGTGGGTGCTTTTTTCCAACTACTCACATAAACACTATATATAAAGGAGGATCACTGAAAGTGAGTTGGGTATCCATATAACTTTTCTTAATAAATAAATAAATAAAATAAATCAAGAGAGAAACTGAATAAATAGCCTAATTTGTGAACATTTTTCAAAATGCAAAACACATGGAAAAATCCTGAAATAATGTAGATTACTGTGCACAAAATCAATACTCGGAGGTACAAATATAATAACTTGCTTGGGAAAAATGTAATAAATGATATACCTTTGAAATATTAAGTGAATCTGTCACTTATTGATTCAAGATATAATACAACGCTCATCCAAAGTACCCAGGCTGAGTTGCACATTTTCATGCCTTAAAACACACAAACAAAAACTCACCCCAATTTTGACAAGAAGCAATATTTTTCAGATGCTCTAAAGGCACACATATAGGAATACAGAATAATAGAGTTGGAAGGGACCTTGGAAGCCTTCTAGCAACCCCCTGCTCAAGCAGGAAACCCTATACTATTTCTGACAAATAGTTAGAATCCAATCTCTTCTTTAAAGTGTCCAGTGATGGAGCATTCTCAACTTCTGAAGGCAAGCCATTCCATTGATTAATTGTTCTCACTGTTAGGAAATTTTTCCTTAGTTCTAAATTGCTTCTCTCTTTGATTAGTTTCCATCCATTGTTTCTTATCTTGCCTTCTGGTGCTTTGGAAAATAGGTTGATCCCCACTTCTTTGTGGCAGTCGTCATATATTGGAACACTGCTATTGTGTTACTCCTAGTACTTCTTTTCTCTAGACTATCCATACCCTATTGCTGCAACTGTTCTTCATATGGTTTAGTCTCCAGACCCCTAATCATCTTTGTTGCTCTTCTCTGCACTTTTTCCAAAGTCTCAATATCTTTTTTAATACTTTGGTGACCAAAACTAGATGCAGTATTCCAGATGTGGTCTTAGCAAGATTTTATAAAGCGGTACCAGTGGTGAAATCCAACAGGTTCTGACAGGTTCTGGAGAACCAGTAGTGGAAATTTTGAGTTGTTCAGAGAACTGGCAAATACCACCTCTGGCTGGCCCCAGAGTGGGATGGGAATGGAGATTTTGCAATATCCTTCCCCCAGGAGTGGGGAGGGAATGAGGATTTTGCAATATCCTTCCCCTGGAGTGGAGTGGGAATGGAGATTTTGCAGTATCCTTCCCCTGCCACGCCCACCAAGCCACACCCACCAAGCCACACCACGCCCACCAAGCCATGCCTACAGAACCAGTAGTAAAAAAATTTGGATTTCACCACTGAGCGGTACTAATACTTCTCGTGATCAGAAAGTGTTCTGATGTTTGTTATGTAATGTTTGACTTAAAATGCACAATGAGCAAAAGAAAATCTTCAGCATGTATTTAGCAGCTTGAAAGGGAAAAAAAGAGAAAGTGAATAAACTATGGTCAAAGTTAACTACCCAGAGTCATTTCAATATGAGATGGGTGGCAATTGAATTTAATAAATAAATAAAACAAATATTACCTCAAAGAACAACAAAAGTGGCACTGCTGCCACACCAGGTTGGATAAGCAATTATTATAAAAAATGCAAAAATATTTGCAAAAATAAGTACAGATAGAGAAGGGGTTTTCCATGTAGACTTTTTTTAATCCCTTTGAAATGGATGTTTTTCACATCACACATCAAATAAACCCAAAATTTTGGTGTAGAAGTAGTTGGAAATTTTCTGCATTTCTTACTTTGCCAACTGTCTACAAAAAATTACATGCCACTTTCTTTTTTCTTCTTTGTGAAGTGGAGCCCTGCATTATCCTAGAGATCCATTGAAGTTATGACTTTGTGATTCTGCTTTGTAGAAGATGGAAGGAAAATGCCTATTGCACATGCATGACTGTGTAATGAAATTATGCATCACTAAAGAAAAAAGCAAGTGGACGAGGCTGGGTAGAATTCATTTCATTTCTTTTTCTTTTTCCAGAATGCTCCATATGAAGGGCATGCAAAGCACTGGATGGAATTTATGATCTAGCTACAAAGGTCCTAGAATCCTCTGAAGATTAATTCATTTTAAGAATTGTATTGCACAATTCTTACAGGATGACTAATATTCAAGGTGGATAGCTGTCAACAAAATGCAATTGTTTTGTCTTATTTTTTTAAAAAATCATAAAAGTTATATCCAGTTTTCTCCTGTATATTTGACAAAGGATCTCCATCAAGAAAAAAATGGCAAATCACAGGTACTTCCAAATTTCCTTTGCCATGACATAACAAAATGAACAAAGTTTCCAGTTATACAGTTATAAGCCATACAATTGCAGTAGAAGCATTTCATACTTTCAAATAGCTGAAGGCACTAGGAGACCACTTAATATCCACGAGCTGGATTTACTCCATCTGCCATTTGAATTCTACTGAGAAACTGAGAGAATTGGTGAAGTTGTTGTACAACTAATGCCAGAGTAGAGAGAAAAGAAATGTGGTGTATAGGGTTCCATTATTTTCATTATAGAAAAAGCGCCTTTATCTGCTAAGGTGGCAGAAACATTGATGGAAAGTCCTTAATCTGAGAAATGGAAGAAGTGGTGATGAAGCCTTCAAATATTAGTAAGACAACAGGAGATGTTTCTCAGAGGAAGAGCACATGGCATTCAATTGGACCTAGATTCAATATCTGGCATTGCTAGACAAAACTGAAAAGATCCTGCTCCAGTTCCTGGGGAATTATGCCAAATAATCTTAACAGTTCTGAGAAGGTTGTACCAGTGATTATATAAGGCAACTATATATAAGGATAGATAGATAGATAGATAGATAGATAGATAGATAGATAGATGATAGATAGATAGATAGATAGATAGATAGATAGATAGATAGATATGTCATTTCCATGAAGTAGGCAGGATTCAAGCTAAATTTGACATAATTCTGTACTTCTGACTCAACACAATGCATTGAGGAAACCAAGAAGAATATGATGGTAATTGAAGGAAGATGTGGATTTTTTTTCCCATCAACACCTTGATTTCCCCTCTGAGTTTGTGACATACAAGTTACCAAAAGCAATATAATAAGTTATAGCTGAAGTAGGGAAGTGAAAACACACTTTACTGACATACTATAAGATTAATTGCATTGTTTGATAGAAACCTGGAGTTGGGAATTTGAACCAAAGCTGCCAAGTAAAATGATACCTGCTTTAGCTTCTTATGGATAACCGGATGTTCTATCACAACTACCAAAATCTTCTTACAGTGGAAATAATATTAGTACCACTTTATAAACCCTTAGTAAGACCACACCTGTAATACTGCATCCAGTTTTGGTCACCACATCACAAAAAAGAAGTTGAAACTTTGGAAAAAGTGCAGAGAAGAGCAACTAAAATGATAAAAGGCCTGGAGACTAGAACATATGAAAAATAGTTTCAGGATTTGGGTATAGCTAGTCTAGAGAAAAAAAGGACAAGGGGGTGACATGATAGCAGTATTCCAGTATTTGAAATGCTGCCACAAAGAGGAGGGGGTCAATTTATTTTCCAAAGCACCAGAGGGCAGGACAAGAAACAATGGATGGAAACTAATCAAGGAGAGACACAACGTGGAATTAAGGAGAAACTTCCTTACAGTGAGGACAATTAACCAGAGCTTGCCTTCAGAAGTTGTGGGTGCTTCATCACTGGGGGTGGGGGTTTAAGAAGAGACTGGATAGCCACTTGTCTGAAACAGTTTAGTGTCTCCTGCTTGAATACCTGGTTGGACTAGAAGACCTCCAAGGTCCCTCCCTATTCCATTCTAAATTGAAAATTGAATTGAATTCATTTTCAAGCTTTTATAGAGATTTACTAGAGAGGCTGAGATTTTGTCCCTCCCTCAAATTACGAAAATATGTTGCCTATTTTTTTTTTAAAAAGTCCATAAATTAAGTTAAAACATTCTCAACCTCCCACCCCTCAAATCTCCTTTTCCCTCTTTAGTTACTGTGAGAGTAATGGATTTAAATTACAGGAAACATGAATTGTGCTTAGTTTTTTTTTTCCTCCCTGCACTGCTAAATGGCTCACTGCTCCTTCCCTCTCTATAGGCAGCCTTTTTTGATGGATGCAAGTTAAATTTTGTGCCTCTCAAGAGGAAGCAGGCACTTTCATTCAGCTGGGCAGCTGAAAGACAGGACTGGCTATAAAATCATCACTCACACAAGTCAGTTACAGAAGTCCTAAGTATATTAGCAGAAGAGTAAATGGAGATAGATTGCTGCTGTTTCTGCTTATGTTCTTTCTTGTCTATATTTATATCAAATGTCAGGCTAGTTAGATCATTGTCGCCCAGTGACAGAACAAGAGTACTTGAGAGTGAATTGTTTTTGAGGGGTCCAACTGTTTCCATAGACTGACTTGGTTTGCTTCACCAAAACTTAATTGATAATATTTCTCTCCAGTTAATATTTTATTCTCTGTTCTCCCTCCTTCCACTCCATCTTGGAATTGAGATACATCTTTACCTGGATCGGCAGTCCATTTTAAAGGATGTTATCTTCTCATGTTTGAGAGCTCAGAATCTGAAAGATGAATTTGTGTAAATGTCTGACATAGCCCTTTGGGACAGGTCCAGGGGTGAAATCCAACAGGTTCTGACAAATTCTGGAGACCCAGTAGCGGAAATTTTAAGTAGTTCGGAGAACTGGCAAATACCACCTCTGGCTGCCCCCAGAGTAGAGTGGGAATGGAGATTTTGCAATATCCTTCCCCCAGGAGTGGGGAGGGAATGGGGATTTTGCAATATTCTTCCCCTGGAGTGGTGTGGGAATGAAGATTTTGCAGTATCCTTTCCCTGCCACGCCCACCAAGCCACGCTCACCAAGCCACACAATGCCCACCAAGCCACTCCCACAGAACCGGTAGTAAAAAAAAATTCGATTTCACCACTGGACGGGTCCTCTGAGTGCTATCAAATAAAAAGCATGGGATGGATTTGTTTTGATGAAGTTGTATCACACTAAGATCTGCCTGCTTTTAGCAGAAAAATTTATTTCTGTTAAAATGTATTCATCAAACAGCTGATTGTGTATTCAATGTATTCAACGATGTAATCTATACATTAATTTAAGAACAACTGAGAAATATTGGTTCACCTTTGTTCAGAAAGCTCTACAGAATAGACGTTTGAAATTGGGTGGGTTTTTTTATTCTTAAAGAGAAACCAGACATGAATTTTGATGTATAAAGTCCTTTTTGACTTGGTTCCTAAACACTTAATCTATCTCAGGTCGAATCAACCCAGTATTTCAACTGAGGGAGCCTGTTGAGATTTCCATCCTGAAATGAGATAAGAGGTGTATGAGAAAGAATATGTGGTTTCTTTTTCCATGCTGCTATGTCATGGAATATTATCTCTCCTGATAATTTCTTGGGGAGTGATGAAGATGAAGAGAGAGATACTTTTATGGGATGCTGGGTTTTAGTGGGATGTATATATGTTAACTTTTTATTATATTGTTAACTGCTGGGGGGGGGAGTTGGTGAGATATTTGTGTGTCTGAGTGTCTATGTGTGTGAAAAATAGAAGTATAATCTTTATAGTAAAGATAACTAATTGGATCCAAAATCTTCTCACATGTTTCCCAACAAAATCATTGATTCCAAGTTTTTTTAAAAAAAACTCCCTATTTTTAGGCTTTGAGCAGAGCCATCTTTATATATATGTATACATATATATATATGTATGTATGTACAGTTTGTATGTATGTATGTATCATGGGTGAAATCCAGCAGGTTCTGACAGGTTCTGGAGAATCGATAGCGGAAATTTTGAGTAGTTTGGAGAACCGGCAAATGCCACCTCTGGCTGGCCCCAGAGTGGGGTGGGAATGGAGATTTTGCAATATCCTTCCCCCCAGGAGTGAGGAGGGAATGGGGATTTTGCAGTATCCTTCCCCTGCCATGCCCACCAAGCCACGCCCACAGAACCGGTAGTAAAAAAAAATGGATTTCACCACTGGTATGTATGTATGTATGTATGTATGTATGTATGTATGTATGTATGTATGTATGTATGTATGTATGTATCTTGTCTTACTGGAAGTAAATAACATGAGGAAAGTCTATTGAATCATAGAGTGGCAACTGACACCCTCTCCACTCCAAACTTCAGCAACTCTTTACAAAGACATTTGATTCAAATACCTGTACTCTAGAACTTAAATTATTGCAGTAGACACAATAGGTGATCCATCCAAACTAAGACTCCTGAATATATGAGTAAACATGGTAAGATTACATACCCTTAGTCTGAAGGATAATACCTGGCATTCCTTATATACATGAACACTCATCTTTTTGAATAATCCATCCTAATTTTTTTCTACCTGCCATACTGATTGCTGCAATGCTTTTCAAGTAATTCAAAAAGGTAGAAGCACAAATGTCCTTTTAGACTTGAATTTCTTTTCTTCCGTATCCTTATAAGTTAAAAAATGCACAGCATCAGAGTCACCATTTCTAACATGTGATACAAAAACCATTTTTAATATAAGCTGTGCCACTATTCAAATGCAACAATAAAAGAAAAAGGAAAGCTATAACAGACCTGTAAGCTCACAGAAAAAGCAAGTTTTAGCTCCTTGCCTGAAATTGGTTATAAATGGTGAAATGCTAATACCACAGACCTGGCTAGATTAGCAGAGTATCTCAAGAAGTGGGTAAGGCAGAGGTGGGTTTCAGCAGGTCCTGACCAGTTCTGGAGAAACAATAGTGGAAATTTTGAGTAGTTCGGAGAACCGGTAGTAAAAATTCTGACTGGCCCCGCCCCCATCTATTCTCTGCCTCCCAAGTCCCAGCTGATTGGGAGGAAATGGGGATTTTGCAGTAACTTTGTCCTGGAGTGGGATGGGAATTGAGATTTTACAGTATCCTTCCCCTGCCATGCCTACCAAGCCACACCCACCAAGCCACACCCACAGAACCGGTAGTAAAAAAAATTGAAACCCACCACTGGGGAAGGGGTAAGTTTTAATTAGATGTATTCAGTTCAGATGTTTTACAGAAGCTAAGAAAGAAACATGTAATAAATAATTTTCAAAAAGACTCTTTAGAGATCGGGAAAATAGGTTAGAAAGGGCTGAGAGAACACCCAGACAAACCCAGCTTATACTGAACAGATTCAACACTTTCTGTGCAGAAGCATAAGA